CCACCCACCCACCCATCCATCCATCCACCCATCCATCCATCCACCCACCCACCCATCCATCCATCCACCCACCCATCCATCCATCCATCCACCCATCCATCCATCCATCCACCCATCCATCCATCCATCCATCCACCCATCCATCCATCCATCCATCCATCCAAAATGTGTTCACTGAACACCTACGTGTCAGGTGCTGGGTTGAGCCCTCCAGTGCCCCCATCCTCCCCAAAACAGCCTGAGGGGGCAAGAAGACTGAGACAGGTGTGAGGGCTGGTGGGAGGAGCTTCTGGGCATCCCAGGGCATTCTCACAATCTGCCTCCCCCAGAGGCAGGTGAACCGGGAGTCATTTTGGTCCCAGGCGGTTAGGGTCAGGCTGAGGAGCAGAACCTTAAGCCCCAGAGCAGGTCTCGTCCAGGCTCCATCTCACACCAGCGGTGTGAGCTCTGACTTCCCTCCAGGGAGTCTCAGGGCCTGAGAAGACTGGATCCTCACCCAGTGCCCACTTGGGCACTGTCTTCTTAACCCTACAGGGTAGCGTGGGCATTATCTCCGTTTTACAGAGGAGGAAACGGAGACAGGGTGAGTTGCAGGGCTGGGACCAGATGAGGCCAGGGAGGCACCCAGGGCTCAGGGTGTAAGGAGGCGCTCGGCTTCAGGCACTCACCCTGCACCTGCAGGGCCTGACGGTGGGCACCCCTTCAGCTTTCGAGCCCTGGTCCCCTCACCCTGGCCGTAACCCTCGTGAGTTGCTAAGTGGTAGCATTGACATTTGCCATCAAGTCTTCTGACATGACCCAGGGCTCATTCTGTGACAGTTTACTTGATCATTCATTCATTCATTCAACAAAACGTAGCGAGCCCCCATCACACACAAGGCCTGTGCGAGGCATGGGGGCGGGTGCAGGCAGGGAGAGGCACCAGTGCAATGGGGGCAAGGCCGACACCACGGCAACTACCAGAGGCGACAAATGAGTGTCCATTACCCCGGGACCACGGGCTTATCCCAGAGGACAAGAACAGTTTCCCCATCTGAGACATAGGGGTGGTCGTGAGGGTCTGGTTTACTCTGGGGCCAGCAGATGTGATGCTCTGTAGGCAGGAACGGTCACCAAGTGGGGGTCCAGCCTGCTCTGATCTGCCCCTCACTTCATCCAGAGCAGCCCCCGCCTGCCTTTCCCAGCCAGGGAAGCCGGCCTGGATGTTTATTTGGTTATTAGATAACCAGGCCCAGGCACCACTTCTTTGATCAGACACCCTTGATAACAAGCAGAGGAAACAGACCATTTTATAGCAAGATTTCGCGGGGTGATCTTATCTTCCCATGGTGTTTTTAACAGGGACAAGGTTGAGGAGGTAGGTGTTTGGTGGAGAGGGAAGAAAGCGGCCCAGTCTGTGAAGCTCTCCTATCGGCCCAGCCCCGGACTTTGATCTGGCGGGAGGGTGGGGTGGGAGATAAACACAGAGCACAGAGGGCCGGCCTCCCACCCACCCTGGACATCTGGCTCATGGCCCTCCCTCACACGGGTTGTGCTTGGCTCCAGCAAAGCCCGCCCTGTGTCCCCCCCGTACCCCCTGCCGCTCAGACCACTTGGGGAGGGCCCCTGCGGTTGACAACTCAGAAAAGCGCACCTCTGGAGGCCAAAACGCGATAATGCCCACGGACATGACTCACGGCCAGCAGAGTCTGGGCTCAGGAAAGAATTGGCTTCTCCCCCAAAAAACCTTATAATTACCACCATTTCCAGTGTTCTCGGGGGATGGTCCTGTAGGTAAGAAAGGGGTCAGGAACTGAACGAAAACCACCCTTTCTTCAGCAAAATGCGAGGTCTGGACGATATAACTTTTTTGCTTAAAAATAAATATCTATGTTTGAAGCCAAATAAGTTTAGCTTCAGTTCCTTCTCTCTCTTTTGTTTGATCTCCTTGTGACCAGAGGGGAGTCTCGTTCATGATGGATATGTAAGGATATTCACAACAACATTGGAATAGCAGAGGAATTGAAAATGCTATACATTGATCAATGGGAAACTAGCTAAATTAATTCTATTGCATGTACACAATAAAATACCATGAAGAAAGCAAACACACATATAGTCTTTGGTTGAACCATAGACCATTCTAAGTGCTCTACGTTACATATACTATCTCACATAATTTCCCAACAATATTACTACTATCCCACTTTACATATGAGACAAGAAGTTAAGTAACATGCCCAAGATGACACACACATATATATATATTTTCTATGTCATAATATTGACATTCAGTCCAGTAATCCTCCAGTGTAACAGCTCCTTTACTTTGCTACTTGTTCATTTCCTTTTCTTTTCTTTTTTTTTTTTTTTTTTTGAATAAAATCTGCGCTGAACAGGGAGCTTATCTGCCCTTGTGCTTCTGTTTTCTCACCTGTAAAACCAGGAGAGCGGCACCAGTCGGCCTCGAAGGCCCTTTCCAGCTTCTCCCAGACTCCCAAGCCTCACCCACCGGTAGAGTGTGGCTGGGCAGGCACGGGTACCACCTGTAACTCTCGATCTCAACAGATGAGTTTAGCTAAGACTTAGGCATCACTTTGCAATAGTGCTTCCCTGTCATGCCTAAGCTTCTTCGAAGAATGGCTGTTATCATAGAATGGGCTTTCTCGTTTAGGATCTTCAGATTCAGAATGAAGCCAAGAGCACGGTCAGACAGGGCATCCTATGCAGACACAAGAGCATCCCAGACACAAGCAGGGACTCAGGAGTTCTCCCACCTTCCAGCTGTCTGGCCTTGGGACAGTGGCCCAATCTCTCTGAACTCAGTTTCCTCGTTCTGTGAAATGGGGCCAACAATACTTTCTACTTCTCATCAAGTTGTCCGGATATAAAGTATATGCATCTGAAGCACCTGGCCCACACCAAGGTCGAAATAATGATCAGAAATTCCTCTTATTTATAAAGAAGCCAATACAACAATTAACACACGAGCACCAGGCTTTGCAGGGAAGTTCCCATTTCTAATAGCAGTACAATAGGTTCTGAAAGTACTGAATCATAACCGCACCTGAGACATCAATGTCACGCCTCCTCCCCGTGTCAAACCATTAATACTCAAAGCCCCGTCAGCGACCTGGGACAGCAAAATGCCCGCATTCAGGAAATCCAGAGAGTACAGCCTCAAACACTCACGGACAGAACAGCATGCAGTGTTTAAAACTATCCATAATTGTACATTTTGAAAAATTAAAGGCACATAATTGCCACAAATAATCACAATTATGCAATTATAAATAACCACCCCTCACAACTCTCCTCCCGCCCATAAGTTACTCCTTTCACAGAAACTTAAGATGCGGCGCGCGTGCGGCCACTGTCTGCCGGGGAGCTGGTACCATCGCGGTTTCGGGGGGGCCACCTCGAGTCTCACGCTGTTCTCAGCAATCCATAGAGACCCGAAAAAAATGTCATTTTCAGGAAGGGAATTGATCGCTTCTCTCACATTTCCATTCGTGTAAGATCAGGCTGTGGCCTCATTCCTGCCTCCGGAGAAGAGGAAAGCTAAGGACAGCCCCGGGGGTCCCCAGTCGGGGGTCCTTGGGTTGAAGTTGAAGTTGAAAGGCTCCGGAGGCCCCTGGGAGCCTCACCCAAGCTTCTGCTAATGAATCAAAAGATGGGGTGCTGTCTACCAACCCGCAGGGCCAAGCAGCCCACAGATGTGGACGGGTGGGTCTAGAAGCCCTTTAGCGGGCAGGTCAACCGCCTGGACGTGCACCCTGGACACGGACCCGTCCCTACGTGCCCAAGTCCTCCCCAAGGCGACAATCTCCATCTCTCTTCTCTTACTCTCTCCCTCTCTTCCTCCCTCTTCTCATTCTCTTATTCCTTCTCCCTTTTCCATTCTCCTTTCTGTCCCTCTCTCTCCCCTCAGCCTTACTCCTTTGTCCCCACCTTTCTTTGTCTCTCTCTCTGCCCTTTTCTCTCTTCCCCCTCCTCCCTTTTTACTTTCTCTCTCCTTTCTTGGTTCTACCTTCTCTCTCTCTGTCTCCCCCCCTCTCCCAGGTAAGGACAACACAATGAAAACAGACACCTTGACCTATGCATCTCAGGTCTCCACCCCCACCCCCACACAGCTTTACTTCCGTTCTCCCGGTGGTCTGTGCGCCCTAGGAACGATCCACTTACATTTCTCTAATGCAAGTGATTCTGTGTCTCTTCTTCATTCATAAATCCAAGAACTTGGGAGGTCCTCCTTCCCAGATGCTACTCCTGTTCTTCAAGGCTTGCCTGCCACTGGGGAGCTGCCTGGGGAGGCCCAGGGCCTGGGGTCCGGGGCAGGAGGTGACTGGTTTGGGGGCATCCCATCCATACCCCCCCTCTCCTCGCAGCTGCCTTGCCTCTGAGCTGCCACCCTCAGCTGACTCACTCAGATGGGAAATGTGGGGAGGGGAGGAGTTGGGGTGGGGGGAACCGCCCTGGTCTACTCCACACTGTTTGCCCAGATGCTCTTTGGAGCGGAGACGAGCTAATCCCAGAGAGCGGCTGTGGGCTGCGGGGCGCCCCAGGTTGGCCACATTCACTGCGCGCTCCTGCACTCGCCCGCCTCCAAGTTGACGCAACTTTTCCAAGAGTATCTGTAAGGCCTGAATAAAAGCCTTGGGGGTCTGAGGGCCCAGAGGGCGTACAGGAGCTTCCCCTGACCCCCTCGCCCTTCTAGGAAACGACCTGGATAGGGGTGCGCTTTGGCTGGAGGAGCGCACCGCACCGTCTGACTTGTCCCGGACAAGAGTTTGAGGGAGGCCTCCCTGCTCACTGCAAAGACCTGGCGGGGAGGCAAGAGCCCGGGCACGGAGCGGGGTCGACTGGGGGTTCTGAATGGCTGGAGGAGCTGCGCCAGAGGGCTGGGCGCGGGCGCGGCAGTGCGCGCAACGCCCGAGGCTGTCTCCACCTCTTCTGGCAGCTTGGACCTATGAGTGCGCAGCTCGACTTACAACCATCAACAGCCCGGGAGGTGAGCGCGTGAGAGCGCCGAGGGGGGCGCAGGACCCTCGCAACTTCCTCGCAGGACCCCGGCGGGCTCCCGGAGTCCGCTGCCACCGGACAGCCCGCGCCCACGCCTCCTCTCCCTGGGGGCCGTCCTGCCACCCCGACGGGATGCCCGCAGCCATGCTCCCCTACGCTTGCGTCCTGGTGCTTTTGGGAGGTAGGTGCCACCCTCCCCCCACCGGCGCGCGGCCTAAGGTCGGAAGGGAGGGAGCTGCCGTCTGAAGTTCCTTGGGGCTTCTTGGGGACTGCTGTATGCGCCCGTGAACCAGGCCGGTGATTCTGCGTTTTGCGCTCTGTTCTCCAGCCTCCCCGGCCAAAACCTGCCTCACCTCCAGGCTCTTCCTGGGCCCTGTGTGGGGTAAGCCGGTTCCGGCACCACATGCGCGCCCGCAGCAGGCTGACCTCCAGGCACCAGGAGCTGCTCCGGGCCCTGGGGTGGCTGGGACCTCCAAAAAAATTCAGGAGGATCCCAGGCCCACTGAGACTCCCTCGGCAAGGTGCAAGCTCCACGTCACTCAGACCAAGGCTACAGAATCTGGTCTTGCCCACTGAATCCTAGACCTGCTGGGACTCAGAGCTGTGTCCTGCAGCAGAGCCGGGGAAGAAGTTAGGGGAGGGTACAGTGACCCTGGGCCCCTCCCCTAACTTCTGGTGCCCAGCAGGCCTGGGCCGGGGAGGCAAAGGACCACAGGACCCCTGGTAGAGGAGACAAGGGCCATCTCCAGGACTAACTGCTGTCCCGCTGCGTCTTCTTAGGGCCTAGGAATGAACAAAAGTCTGCAAATGCCAGCTGCCCATGGTGCACCACCATTGGCAAAAATGACAATAATAACCACAGTGTGCCAGGCTAACCCCCGAGCACCCTCGCCTTGTGAAGGGTTAAGAATTCTGGCCCTGGAGTCAGACCACCTGCTTCAAAAGCCCAGATCAGCTTCATATCAACCTGTGTGGCCTTGGGCAGGCATGTCCATCAGCTCTCTTAGACTCAACCTTCTCATCTGTCAAATGGGCTCACCAGACCCTCACCTCTGTCTGGGATTGCTGTGAGGATTTCAAGAAGGAGAGCAGGAGAAGCACCTAGCACCTGCTTCCTGGCCCTGAGGCGTCAGGTCCTGCAGGAAGACACGCTGCGCAGGTACAGCCAATCATGCTTTACTCCACTACGGGCAAGGAGCAAAGTCAGGTCTCCCTGCAGGAGCTCTGCAATCAGCCCCGAATTTCTAAGCAAGATATTTGAAGAAGAGATGAACGGGGTCTGAAGGAAAGTGGAGGGAAGGTGTGTTCGCAGTTTGAAGAGCTGCAGATACATCCACCAAAAGGGGACATTTATCTCAGGGCTGGGGTGAGAGGTCACACAGCCGTCCACCGTCATGGAGTCCTCCCTCAGAGCAAAGATAGGCCACGGCAGCCCTGTGCCAGGACAGTAAGGGTGGAAGGAAGGGGGCGAGGAGGGGGTGGCTGAGAAAAGAGTCTGTGTACTTTCCTTCGGGGCACGGAGCTGGGGAGGGGAGAAGGGGGATGCTGTGTCTTCATGTCTCCTCCACCTCCTCCCGGGCTGTTCCTCCCCGTGGGAATGGGACAGTCCAGCGCAGCAGGACAGATTTTACCCCAGGAACCTGCAGTCTTGGTCACCGCGCAGTGCTGTTGTCCTTGGCAAGCCCCGAGCTTCTGTCCTGCCAATAAAATCACTGCAAGTGTAGCCTCGCGGCTCTTCTCCGGAGTCCTGCTGCTTTGCTCCTTGGCGACCTTTCACCGCCGCAAGTCAGACAGATTCCACAGGAGAGAAGCCAAGAGTGCCCAGCGGGCCCAGGCGAGCGCGGGAGTCCGCTGTGGAGCCCGTGATTCAGACCCAGACGCTAGGAAGGGCGCCGGTCCCATGCGGGCTGCCTTCAAAGTTCCTTGCTCTAAGCCAGGAACCATTTTCCACTTAACCCTTTTTCAAAAGTCCTTTTCACCACTGGCTGTATCACCAGGCAAGAGGCTCTTTGTACTTTAGTGAAAGGAAACAGAACCCCGTTAATCCTTCAGATACTTAGATAATTTAGGTGCCTGAGCTGAGGGAAGCCTGAACTTCACGTCTCCAGGTTCAAAAACTTTAGTGTAGGCACACCAACGGCCCCAGCACGGGAACTCACCGTGACACACACACACACACACACACACACACACACACACACGCCCCAGGGTTTCTCAGCCTCGGCACTGCTAATGTTGTGGTCCAGATCCTTCTCTGCTGGGGGTCGTCCCGTGCACTGGAGGTGGTGTAGCGGCATCCCTGGCCTCCACCTACCACATGCCAGTAGCAACACCTCCCAGTTATGACAACCAAAAGTGTCCCCAAACACTGCCAGATGTCCCCTGGGGGGCCACAGTTGTCCGCAGTGGAGACTCGCTGGTATGGGCAGATCTAATTCAACTGGTAGATTTTGAGATGAATCTGTCAAAATCACCGGGTCAGATGGATTTTGTTATGCTTACTCTGAGCAATCAGGAAATCAAAGACACAGTGGGCCCAAGAAAAACAACACAATCTAGGTAGTTTCTAATCTGGATGTTGATTTTTCCCATTTGTCCTCTCTCCCTCTTGTCTCTGAAAATGTCCTCCCTGGGGATAACAGGAGCTAGGCTGTGGGTAAGCGTGGTTAGTTACCCGCTGGAGCAAACCCTCCTCAAAACCCTGCAACGCCAGATGTGTCTTGTGCCAGTGCAGTGGCTTCCAGCTTTGGTTCACTCCCCAGCAACCTCTGGCGTTTAAAAATCTCCTTACTCAACAATTTATGCTTGAGGGGAAAAATGAAAAACCACAGCTTCTTTTTTTCCTCTCATTTGTATTTTTTTTTTTTTCTAATCTCAGTCCTGCTTTTATCTCTAGCCATATACTTTGCAGTGGCAAGTTATCCCTTAGAGACAGATTAACTAGAAAAAAAATCACGGGCCATTCCATAATAAATTAGTTGTTGATATGGGGGCTCTGTTTCAAAACCAAAGTAAAAACTGGGGAGAAAATTAACTTAAGTACACTTGTCTGAAAAATCAAAGGTGAAAAGAGATCGGTAATTGTATTCGTTATTTAAAACAAAGAAGAATTTTGAACAGAATCTGCCCCTTGCCGCTTTGCGTGGCTCGTGTTGTAGACAGATCGTCACGGCCGGCTGTTTCACTCATGTTCTGACCGAGGCTGGGATCTCCAAATTCAAATCAACCAACTCAAGGCTAATAGAGCAGCTTCCTTGATTCCCAAACCATCTGGATGGCAAGCTAGTAAGAAGTTCCATTGAAGAAGTCTTTGGGAAATGCATTGCAAGTTCACTATGTTCATGGAAACTAAGCCAGAATGAGCCCCTGGTAAGACTTCCAGGATAAGAGTGCTTCACTGCCAAAGTCGGTCTCTGAACTTGAGGGCATCTGAGCTGAGCTGGGGGGACTCTAGGGAAGGAACTGAATTCTGAAGTTGGCGCTGGAGGTGGCCATGAGTTGTGGCCAGGGGTGGTGGTGTGACTGTTCCTCAAACCAGAATGGCTTTCAGAAGCCCTTTGTGCAAAGCCCGCCCCCGACCCTGGAGCTGGGAGTGCAGGTGTCATGGTGAACAGGATGTCCCAGAGAATGTCAGGCCTCCCAGCGGGAAGGGCAACCAGTCCAATGGGCATGGGGACACTGGGGAGGCAGGGCTGGTGCCCGCGCAGGACCTCTACCTGTGCGACGGGAGGTTGCCTGGTCTCAGCTGAATCTAACACGTGTCTTAGAATCTATCACGTGTCTCTCTCTGTGCTACGGAGAGCTTGAGAGCAGCGTCTTGGGAACTGAACAGACCTGGGTCCCATTTTAGCTTTGTCACCTATGTCCCCATCAGTGAGTTGAGAATGGTGATAGCTGCACCCTCAAGGGATGATCGAAGGGTTAAATGAGACGTCGTGTGGTCAGCGCTAGACACCAAGAGCCTTGTGAACCCTCCCCGCTGTCAGTGTTGAGAGCTGGAGCCTGCACTCGACTCTCCAGACCCGGAGAAGAGAGAGGCAGGTCAGGGCTCTCAGCCAGGCGCCAGTTCAACTTGAGCTTGGGTGCGTCCCTTCCTGGCCATCTCCTTTTGGTGGGTGCTGTATTTTCTTCCCACTCTGATGTTCCGTGTGTCCTCAGGAACACCATGGCTAGTCTAATGATACCGACAACAGCAACAAAATTAGCAACTGTTCCTGTTCAGCGAACCAGGGTCAGCCCTCCTTGTACACCATCTCCTATAACCCTCCTCCAGCCCCAGCTGCCAGCCTCAGTTTCCTGACCTGTGAAATGGGAAGGGTGGCCGCCCTCACTGCTGGGGTCGGACCTGTCTAGCAGAGAGGGGCCCAGGTGAGTTTCCGATCAGAGACTGCGTTTGGGGGGCCTTGATGTGCACGCGCCACTCACTGGGGGAAGACGATGAGGACCGAGAAACAAATGGGGCAGCTCCTGCCCTTGTCGAAGTCGGAGTCAAGCAGACAATGAAATCTCCAGCTAGCAAGTAATAACGATATGAGAGTGACTATACAGAGTGACTATACAGAGCAGGTCCGCGGCATCTAGCCTGGATTGGGAGGTTAAGGAAGGCCTCCCTGAAAAGGTGAAATAGCTGCAACTTGAAAAAAAGAGGGCGGTTTAACTAGAGGAGACGGAAGAGTAGGTTCACCCCGGGAGAGGAGGTAGCATGTGCAAAGGCCCGGCTGCAGAAGAAAAGAGCAGTGTGTTCAGGGACCAGAGAGAAGGCCGGTGAGGCTGGTGAGGAGGGAGTGAAGGTGCAGGGGGTGGACGAGGTCAGAGGTTAGCAGGGGCTGAACCGCCGAGGGCCATGGGGAAGGAGTCAGACATTATGTCAAGGGCAATGGAGGGTCCCCTGAAGGGCTCTCAGCAGCGTTCGGAGGGGCAGGGGATGCCTCTAGAAGTCGTGAGCTCCCCACCACTGGAGGCATCCTAGAGCGAACGGGACGATGGTGGCTAGCACTGACTAGGGAGTTGCCTGGATTTGCTTCTAGCCCTGAAAGTCTCTGATTCTAAGGAGTCCCACCAACCTCCTAGTACAGGACATGGGCTTTCAACTGTCATTTTGGCCCCCCATAGACCCCCCTCAAAATTTAGTGCCCAGTAAGGATACTGGTAATGGTGATAGGCTACACTCACCAGCATTCAAGGTGTCCAACCATCCCGGGCTCAGTGCCACCCCTACTTCAGCCCTTGAGGCAGGCTCTGCCCTGGTCCCCGTCTTACAGCATCCCCAGGAGGAGAAGCAGGGTGGGATGCACAGCCTCTCCCCAGACACCTCCTCTAGGTCATCACTCTGGCCCATTTTCCCTGGTCTCTTCTCCTCACTACCACCATCAACATCTAATC